CCAATAATAAGACTTGACGACTATAACTTAGCACTGACGACAGTGAGGAATAAAGGATGAACGTTTATTTTTAAAGCTTATAAATGAGTTCTTCATCAAGCTCTCGTGAACCTTCACCATCTATGAAACAAACTTTACCAAACGATTATGGAGCACCTATTGAATATTTCTTACGAGCTGCACAATGGCAAAGAGCAGTCTCACCAAGGTTAGGTGTTCCACCAGCTCCTGTCAAAAATAGCATTTGGTCAAGTCCTTATATAAAATATGGTCTCCCACTAGGTTTGCTAGCTACAGCAGGAGCAGTAATGATGTTGAAAAGAAATAAAGCAAATGTTGTAAATAATACTGAAGTAGCTGAAGTTAAACAAACTCCGACACCATCGCCAAAACCAACGTCAAAACCAACACCTTCACAAACAACACCTTCAATGACTCCTGAACCTATGAAATTACAAACTCCTGTTCAAAAGTCAACTCCAAAACCGACTCCAACATTTAAACCAGAACCTACACCACAAATAAATCGTAAAACTCCTGCGTTTCCTTACTGAAAAATAACGTTATTTTTATTTAATATTAAAATTTTTATTTTATTGAAATGACAAATAAAGTCACTGAAGCAATGAAACAAAAGTTCTTGGTAGAATACATTAAATCAGGAACTATTCCAGAAGGTTTTTACGTTCATACAATGAAAGATGGTAGAGTTCAGTTTAGAAAGATAAAGCAACCATTAGATAAAGAAGGAATTTTGAGAAAGATTAAATTACATGAAGACAACATTACTGAACTTAAGAAGAAGTTAGAAGAGTTGGAGAAAGGAAGAGAGTTATAAAGCAATGAATTCAAGTGGGTGAAAAACCGGGTGAAAAAAGAGGTGAGATTTCACCACTTCACCTAATTTATTTTTGTGCTATGTTTTCATACGCGTGAAGGTAGTGATATCATTTATTTTTTATTTTATTTTTATTTTATCTTTATGTAAATGACAGAACAAAAGCAACTCATTCGAATTCCACAGTATAACAAACATACATTTAAACATTTATTCTTCCTTCCTGAGCATAACATGTTCTTTCAAATACATCCGAGACCAGTTGACTTTTCATTGACTGTGTATAAAGATAGAAATAGTTATATCATTAAACCATACGATGACGAAGGTAAGTTATGTAAATTGTACGTTAAGAAGTTAGAGAAAGTTTATGGCTTCAAGTATGACTACAATAGGGTTAACACTGATGATGAAGATATTGAGGAAAATTTATGAGAACATTAGTGAAGTCGTTAGTGAGAACGATAGTGAGAACGTTTATTTTTTACATTAGTGAGTTCGTTAGTGAGGTGAAGTGGTTGGCGGCTTTGTAAATATTTAATGTTAAATTAGTGTTGTCGTTTGTGTTGTAAAATATACGTTAGCGGTTTTGTAAAGTGTCAAACCGTTATCTTGGATAAGGTGGAACGCAGTGCCGCCGTACCCAAGATAACCATACTAACTAATGCGACATTTCCGAAGCTTATTCCTGCGAGTTCGACTGTGACTCGTTCTCCGATTAAAAGTATCTCTGGGACTTTATTGACTAAAATGATGTCTTCTATTTTATAATATGGGACTGATTCAGAAAACATGAAGTAAGAAATTTGATAATAACCTCTTTCACTTGGAACTTTAAATGTGTCATTAAAAATATAATTCTGACTGTCATCTTGATGTGTTTGAATTAACTCATAATCTTGTAGACCAGATGAGTTAACAGCTCTAGAAATGTTGTATACTTCATTAAAATTATATGTAAACAATATTAGATCTAATGTGAAATTCGTGTCAGGATAATAACAACTCCTTTTTGGTGAAAATATCTCAATATTAATGACAATAGGTGTGATTCTTACGTATCCTTGACCTCGGTTGCCTATCAATCTTTCTGTGAATGAGTATGGTGAAGGCATTGATTCGTTGCCTGGGATGATTATTCCATTCTTGATAAAAGATTCATTTATGAAAGAACTTCCACCACCTCCAGCTGAATAGTAATCTCCACCAGCACCACCATAATAGCCAGAACCACCTCCTGAAGCCTCATGATAGCCTCTAGCTTCACAATTTCCTCCATAAAATTTGCCACCATTATTATTAGAATTTGCATAATTTGTTCCATAGCTTGTTTGAGTAGCACCTGTCCCACATCGTAAATTACCATAATATTTAGTGCAATGTGATCCATCCCCACCTGAAACTCCCCCTCCATATCCGCCATATGTATATTGATTAAAAAATGTTCCAGCACCAGCACCGGCAAAAAGAATTCCACTTTCATTTTTAGCTTCACCAATTGAAATGAAACTCATTCCTCCTCCTGATGATGAATAGAATTCATCATCATATGAACTTAACCCACGCCCTCCTCCTCCAAATGTGTTTCATAATATTGTTATAGGTTTACCGATATCACTATCATGCCTTAATATTTCAGTAGTTCCCATTTCACCGCAGAAAATATAAAGAGTTGTTTGCCGAGAAATATCAAGCTCTCCACTGGCATAGCCACCTTTGCCACCTTCATATAATGTTCCGTTATATGTAACATTGCCTCCTTGTGCACCCCATGCTTCAAGCCTGTATCTACCTGGTGGAAGATCTCTTCTAAATGGTTGGCAATCGAGATAATTTGTGCAATTATACACATATAGCTCACTGCGAATGAAGAGATCCCAAAGTATCAAAGTAAATGAGATTTCAAATTAAAATCTCAGATTAATATAAAATTGACAATAAAATAAATTCATATGGATTTGTTGGTCCTGTAAAATTTTGATAATTAGAAGATTTCTAAATATGTTAATTTACATGTACATTTTCAGTAATCATGATATTAATTATTTTAAAAATTATAATTTGGACGATACTAATGGTTTCCTATATTACAATTGATTTGTAGATTTACATTGGAGAAAAGCTTCTTAAGCTTTTTAATCCCATAAATGGCCATCATTTGGAAATAAAAAGTGTCAATAAATTGAATAAATTAACACATTTTTACTGATTCATATGTATTTACTGATTTTTATTTTGATGAAAAGAAAACAACAAAATTTATGAATGCTTATAATTATGATAAAAGGAATATGATGAGAAGAAGTTGAATTTAGAAATATTCAAAAGTTCAATTCGATTTCATTTCACAAGATTAGAGTAATAAATATTTTGTTTTCAACAATATAATTTAATATGATTTCTTTTTCTGTATAATAAGAGAAAATTATCAATTCAGATAAAAAAGAAATTAATTTTGAGTTCAAAGGTAAAAATTACTATACATTTGAACCTCAACATGTGAGGTTAAAGAAAGGATACTATTTATTTGAATTATGGGGTTGTTCAAGTACAGGTTATCAAGATTCAGACACATATCTACAGCCATCAAGAGGATCTTTTGTTTCTGGTTATATATAGGGTGTCCAAAGGTGCGTTTAGCACAGCGCTCTATATGAGACTATTAAAGGAGATATATGCTGATTATAAATATATAATAAAAAATATGAATATATGTATATGATGAGTATGTTGTATTTTGGCGCCATGCCGGGATATAAAATGAATTTTGAGACAAGAGGCGGTTTCGCGGGAAATTTTGGCGGGATTTTTTTCATTTTTTTAATGAATCATAAAGAAAACATCCTCGCTCTTGCAAAAAAATGCAAAGACTGTAAAAAAATCTACGAAACATTGGTAAAATGCTTCGGTATGGATGCTCCTAGCTATTCCACTGTAACGTATCATGTTAGGATGTATCACTTCATGAACAAAAAGGCGCCCATCATAAAAATTGACAAAAAATCGCCGGATCAAAGAAAAATCAAAGCAATTCTTCAAGCGCTAGATGAAGACCCAAGAGCATCACTCAGAAGGATAGAGGAGATGACAAAGATACCACGTACAACAGTCAGTTATTATCTGCACAATTATTTGAACTACAAACTAGCGTATACACGTTGGGTTCCGCACAACCTTAATTCAGTTCAAAAAAAATCTAGAGTCCAATCTTCGAAAGAGCTCCTCTCTATATTGGGTGCGTATCAATCCAAAAAGTTTCGCTTTTTAGTAACAGGGGACGAGTCTTGGTTTCAATATGCAACAGAAGCCAAAATCATGTGGATCCCGAAGGATGAAAATCCGCAAACATTCCCGAAGAAAAAAATTGACACACCAATGATGATGTTGTCGGTTTTTTGGGGCGTGAATGGCATCATCGCAATTGATATTCTTCAAAAACCTAATACGATGAATGCTCAGTATCTAATTGACAATGTTCTTACTCAAATTATCAATTCTGATGAGTTTGAGAAATCCAAACAACAAAAACAAAAGTTTGCAATTCATTTTGATAATTCAAGAGTTCACAAAAGTCATAAGGTAATGAATTACTTGGTGGAAAACAATGTCAAAGTTGTTCCAAACCCAATTTATTCACCTGATATTGCACCCTCTGACTTTTATTTATTCGGCACGCTAAAAAAGAGAGCTGAAGGACGCGAATTCGCGAGTCCAGATGATCTTGAAAATTTTGTAAGAGAGCAATTTGAGCAATTTTCTCATGATGATTTAAAGCGTGTCTTTCAAGCCTGGATCGATCGCTGCGAACGCGTGATTGAATCCAATGGTGATTATATTTAAATAAACTTTATATATATGTAACTTGTTTATTTCTATTCGCAGTATTCAGGTTTGTGCTAAACACACCTTTGGACACCCTATATTTATAATTTAGGCATTGTTTTGATTAGTTTTGGCACAATTAGCTGTTGGTCTGGTAATACTCAATTAGAGAAATACGTGAATGATCTTTCATTATTTATTTTGAAAAAGATCAATATATTAAGTGAAAATCAGAATTTCGTTATCTGTCTTTCTACATGGTTGAGTTTATGTTTAAATATGATTTACTTGGAAATGGTTATATACTACTAAAAAAGACAAATGATTTCTATGTACACGTATGTTCGAAAGGTCAATATTATATGTACAAGAATTCATATGGAGGGGGGGTCAGGGACAATTCGGGGGAGGCGGATCAAGTGATATCCGTCTTTTATCAGGAGAATATGATGATTTCGAATCTCTGAAAAGCAGAATCATCGTTGCATCAGGTGCAGGAGGTTCAGACTCTAAAGATCAAGGAGGTCCAGGAGGATCATTAAAAGGATACAACAGCACACAAAACAAAGGTAAAGGAGGGACACAAACATTTGGAGGCATCGGCATTGAAAATGGTAAATTTGGAAAAGGAGGTGGTGAAAACAGAACAATTGGACTAGAACAATATCACCTCGGAACATCAGGAGGTGGTTCAGGATACTTTGGTGGTGGAACATCAGATGATTATGGTTCAGGTGGTGGAAGTTGTTACATCAGTGGACATGAAGGTTGTGTTTCTGTCATCAAAGAATCAAAAATGGATAATATATCTTTCAAAACACAAGGAGATATCAGTATCCACTATTCAGGATTTAAATTCGAAAGAACAGTTATTGATGATGGAAAATATGAAATGAAATCTCCAAATGGTACATTCGAAATCGGACATCTTGGAAATGGATTTGTTCGAATCACAACAATATTTGACATATCAGAAATTTCTTGTAATTTTATTCCTTACTATTCTATAATGCATTATTTTGTATTTCAGATATTTTTATCATCTTTAATCTATTGATTATAATGATAAATATTCTATTTTAATGGTAATAATCAACATTCAAGATATAAATGAATGATGAGTAAATTTTGAAATTTTACCATCAATTAATGTTGGAATATCATTATCTCTATTAAAGGATTAAATTTAATTTTAGGTATATATGGTTTTGTTATCTCTAATTTTAGCAGTTCTTTTTGATCTGTTTGTGATTTCCTGTTTTCGGCAAAATATACAATAATAAAAATGATTGGCTATTGTTTTTGAGAAAATATCAATGCAATAAAGTTTATCAAGATATACATCATTGTTGGAAAAATTAAAATTAAATTCATTCTTTCTAATTAAACTCGATATATTTCTCATGGTTTGTTAAAGTGTGTTTAGAAGATGCTGCTTTGTACTTGCATTTAAAAACTTCTCCTCTTTTATTAGAATTCGTTTGAGACCCTTGCGCAGAGAAGATTATCATTATGACTACAATCGTATTCTAATTGAGTTTGAAGTGTAAAATATGAATGAAATCATCGATACTTGTAATCCTTTAAGGATACCCTTACGTGTCAGATTTTTTGCGCATACGAAGAAGTCATGCTAGACATGAGCTATAAACCTGAAATTTTAGCAACATATTTAAAACTTTTTAAACTACAATACACTTTAATATTCAAGAACAAAAATATTCTTTTTAGAAATTACATAATTATTTTATGTGAAATCTATATAAAAACATATTTTGCGAGCGTAACTTTTTTCTTTATAAGCACCTTATATGACTGATAAACTGTGAAGGCACATAATTGTTAATTCATAGAGTTGATATGTTTCCAAAATTGAGAGGAAATTTGAAAATTGAATACCCTTTCAATTCAATTTTCAAAAGATATCAGCTCCTTCAATAATTGAAGGACGATTTTGATCATTTGCTCTTAAAACAAGCATGCCATGGAGAAAAAAGTTACGCTCGCAAATCTGAAATATAACTATCATATAAAAAAATTAAATTTCTAATTTTTTACTCTATAGATATTATTGGCCACTTGTGTAATGCATAAAAGTTTATGTCATATGCATACATTTGGAAGTATGGGAGACGAGGGAAATTACTTCTATGAGGCACTAGGGTTTTTAAAAATTTCTCTATCGGACTCACCATTCAATTTCTCGAAAATTAAAAAAAATCAATAATAGCTAAAATGTATTATGCATAACAAATTTTAATGTTACACGGTATTTTTTGAACTTCATGACATGAATTTTCTTTATATTATTTTTTTTTTGGATTTTCTATGATTTATGCGATAGACTGGAACAACATTGTAAGTGCAATGATATCATTTATAGAGAAATCTAAAACTTCAGCATTCAGAACTCGCAACCACAAAATATTCATTTGCTAAGTAAGTAAAGTTGATTAAGTTCGACACTTAGCTTTTATACGTAAAACCAAATGTGTATTGTTATTTCTTGTTAAATTATTGAGAAAAAAAAAATTGTAAGAGAAACGATACTGATTATTGAAATAATATTGAGGGTAGCTGCAGATTTCTTCATTAACATGCCGGAAATTTGTTAATCTTGGTTTTCTATCATAAAATCTGTCGAAGAATCTAAAAACGGAGATATGAAATAGAGATCATGTAAATCTAGAGTATCCTGTCAGAAAAATAGACTAAGCATGTAACCCTTTTTTGGTCATAAACACTTTTTACCACTTAGTCATACAGATGATCATTAAATTTAAACGAGCACTTTTTGTCAGAATTTATTCTTTTACAAAGACAGAAGATTTTAGTATTATTTAATATTAGTGCTGTAGCAAAATTCAAAAAACGGTGAAAATTCAGTGAATTTGTGAATTCACATTTTTTTTTCGACATTTTTCTTGATATATCCATGCACATTAAGAACACAGCTTTGATACGCTTAAAAAAGCATATTTTATATGAAATTGTTAAAGAAATAAACAATTTATATAAAAAATTGCACTTATGGGCAGTTTAGATATATAATTTATATATAACATATATACAAATCCATAGACAAAGTGCAATAACTACAATGTTGTAGAAAATTACAGCAGAAATACTGACTTTTTGAAGGATAATAAGAATTCTTCTAAATGTTGTATTTTTATAATTTGATTGATTTTTTTACTATTTCATTAATCTTTTATGAATAATAATTATTTTTAATATATGTGCTATTAAAATTTCAAATTTTGACTAATATATCTAAGTTATCTGAACGAAACATTTAGAAAATATCATACTTACATTGAAATAGCAAGTAGAGCATATTAATAGCAAGTTTCTTGGCTTTATATCTATCATCTATTGTTGTTTGATCAAACAAAATTCACTCTATTATATGGTGTCAATTAATTAAAACAATTTTTAATAGTTATTTATTTAGTGCGAATAAGTGCAAACTCATAAATGAATAACTTAATAGTAGAAATGAATTATCTGATATAAATCTCACATTTTGTCCATCAGAAATACTTTAATTGCATACGCATAACTATTAGTAATACGTCTGGAGTGTCAATTAATAACAATCCCACAACAAGTAAAATTCAGATTTTTATTAAACTTATTTTTTCCTAAAAGTTTTCTCAAATTACTATATATACATATGTGGATAAAATAATAGTAATATTGTAAAAAATTAGATAATTTTTTTTATTTGAGAACCTCTCAAAAGTTCATTCAATTTATCAATTGTTTCAGTTTGATGTATATTCATTTCTGGAGCCTAAAACTTTAGCAATCATGACAATATCATATTCTCTTTCTAACTACGCAATGTAAGGGTATCCTTAAAAAAAATGCCAACAAAATTTTTTCCAAAAAATACCAAAAAAGTGACATAAAATGTTTTGATTGTCAATTTCAAGGGATTTAATCCCTTGATAAAGATAATGACATTGTAATTTTAATTATACATTCTTTATACTTAAATAATATTATGCTCTTATTAAAAGAAAACTATTTTTTTGTGTGATAAACGAAATTTCGGACTTAATTCTTTCGAATATTTTTATGAATTATATGAAAATGAGACACTTATTGATACTATTCTTGGATTCCGGTCCAAGTCTTGATACTTGGACACTTTTTTATGAGAATTCAAATATCACTGAAAATCACACTGAAAATACAAAATTAAATCCAATAAAAGCAGGAAATTATTATGTTACAACATGTTTATTCAATGGAATTAATGATATCGTTGTCAATATATCCAAAGGAGATCAAACAAAACTTCTTATTTCTATTTCTGGATTCAATGGCACAAAAACTCCATCTTTTACAGTTTTTTCTTATTGGGGAAGTTGTGTTATCTATCGAACATGTGCCACAAAATCTATACAAACACAATCAGGATATGAAGGAGTATTTTTATATTCAAAAATATCAGGATTCAATACAAACAACAAAAACATTTTTGAAGATTCAACAGTCTTTGATTGTGGAGACTCAATAGATAAAGGATATTCAATTAATTATTTATATTACGGAAATCTTAGTTATTCACGAAATAACATAACAAATAACAAATGTATTCAAGATGTTTCACTTGAAATTTATTCAGATCAGAGATACAACATCAGTCAATCATCTTTCATTGATAACAAAGCATACTATGAATGCTTTTGTATTTGTTATAGTGGTCCACATCAATTTTATTTATGTAATATCATTAGAAACAATGCTAGTAAATGTTTTAATTTACATTCAGCAACAGTTACATTTGAATCTTGTTCAATCAAAAATAATAAATGTACACAAACATTTTATTTATATTCATCAAGTCCAGCTACAATCATTAATAGTGATTATGATGGACAAAAATCAAATGCAACAATAATAAATCCAACAAACAGTTTATACAACAAATTATCACTTCTTTCTACAGGACTTTGCGAAGCAAAATTTAAAATTGAAAATAATTTTGAAGAAGAAAATGACATAAAAAAATTCAACCAAATGAAAAAATTTTGCATCTCCCAATATTTAATCGGCTACCAACATAATCATTTTCTTTTTATGTCTCATATTTCATCATTTTCAATTTTATCACTGATTCAATAAATAATTTTCCAAATTTTCCTCAAACAAAGACAAATGAAAACTAATCAGAGCATTGAAGATAATGACTAATCTTGTGTTTCGAACAAGAATTATTCACAATATGATTCAGATCGCAAATTCGATAAATAAAATAATTTCACAAAATTCAAAAATACCCAATTTTTAAACATTTGATTGACTCTTTACCTGCATTTTCTCATGTTATGAAACAAAGACAAATATGTTTCAAATGTTTCTTCAAAAAAGCAGAAGAAAAGTAAAATTATCGACATTGATATTGAAAGTTGTCTTCGATCAGTTAGCGAAATGGAATCTACAGACCAATTATACAGATTACAAAAAATGATTAAGGCTCCAGTCCCACCCTTTCAATTTTTAAAATTGAATATATCAATCAATAAGAGTTTTCATGACTTATAATTAAAGATATTATATTAGTGTAATATAAGCTATAATATTATATTATGACGTAGGGTGTAGCATTGCTAGAACGTTATTTGTAAATTTCATTATTATCAACTTTGAACGGCATTATTCGTCCTATAAACAAAAGGGCTCTGTCGTGTTGTAGGATATTAATATAGTATATTATTTATATTAGTAAACATGACTTTTACTTCTCTCTGATTGAGTTATTTTTTCAACAAAGAAAAATGAAAAAGTTACTTTTTGACAAAATCTAATAATAAGTGATCCATAATTTTATTATTAATAAACATGTTACTACATATTCTTTTGATATATTTTATCATTGAATACCATTAGCTTCTTTCGATTTTTATTAAAGTATATATTACCACCTGAAAAAATTGACATATTTTGACAAAGAAGAAAAAACTTTTAGTTCCGCTCTGTCACTTTGTTAGCATGCTATTTATGTTTATTATTATGTCTTATATTAATTTTATATATAAATGAGTA